ATGTCTTTGTTATATAGAGAAATTTAAGTAATTTATTAGTTTTTTATATTGTATAAGAAATTTACTTTAAATTAAGTGATTGGGTTATAGAAAATTATAGAAAATTTTATAGAAAATTTTAAATATCAACTCACTTAATAATATTGTAATTGTCACTTAGTGAATATAGGTGTAAGCCAATCGATTCATTCAATAATATTTAATATAAGTCAATAAATTGTATGTGTATAGCATTATTCAAAGTCTAAAATTTATGTGTATTCAGTGAATGAATTCAGAACTGAATACAATAAGTTATACTCAAAGAAATTCAAATATAAACTCATATATATTATAAACTTGTAACGTAAATGTATTAAGCTAAAAAATTAAATATTTTAAGTTTTAAAAGACCATTAAAAATCTGAATATTCGGCAGCAGCTTTTCTCGAATTTCGACAGATGCTTTGGCACCAATATTATGTAAAGGAGCGGAACATTCTTATAACAAGAATATTAACAAATCAAGTAACGTTTCAAAGATTTACAACAAGACAAATCAAAATTTTTAACAATTTGAAATCTTATATATTTATAATAGTTCCAACATAAGAATCTGAACGACAAATCAAATAAACAAAGTCTTAATTCATAATATTATGTAATTCCAAAATTTCTGAAAATCCAATCCTGATGTCTACTTAATAAGTTATTATGTATAAAAGAATTAAAATATCTTGCTACAGAAATTTTACTTTTTATAAAATTCTCGTAGAGTCCAATATTAGTGAAAAGGGTTACAAAACCTTCTGTACAATATTTTTCATTATTAACACCATTACTGATAACACCAAGCATAAAATATCTTTCATTATTATCAACAATTTTTTTTATAACATATCCACCACCACTATCACCTTGGCATGCTGTTGAACTTCTTTCATTTATCGCACAGAATTTATCATTATCTATAATTTGGGCCAACTATAACTTTACATTCTTGATTTGTTAATGTTGTTAAATTTGTTATTTGTAATTCATTACTAGAATCATCATCTTTTGATTTTGCACCCCATCCAACGATGTAGCCATCTAGACCTTCAGTAATTATATTTGAATTGAAATCAATGCAAACTGGCTTAATATTCCATGCATATTTTATATGATGATTAAGTATTAAAATTGCGATATCATTTTGCATTGAAAATTGTTCGTAACTAAAAAATAATTAAGTATACAAAGTTTTGAAAAGTAATAATTGAAAAATTATTTTAAACTTACGTATCAGGAATGTGTATACTTTCTACATTAATAAAATGTTCCGACTCTTCTTGTGTTTCATATTTTCGATAATGTTTTCCAGCTCCAATTATATAATTTGATGCATTACTTAATTTACCTAAAGGCACACTATGAAAACAATGAGCAACTGATAAAATTATATTAGAATGAATAATACTGCCGCCACATATTTGTTTAATAGATTTGCTTTCTTTAAGATAAATAGCAACGTGCCATGGAGCAAAACCAATTTGAGCTCTATTACCTCTATAAATCAATGGTATCAATTTTGGTTTATAATTTTTATCAATTTCTCCACAAATTAAATTACAATTATCGTTTTGATCTTTGACGTTGTACTCCCAATAATTCACATACGAACAGTAAGCCAAAAAATCTCTTTCTTGATCATCGTTTTGTTAATAACCTATTTGACATCTAAAAATTATAAGATCTGCTCTAATAATACATTCAATTGGTTTACTAGGAAGTGGATCAAAACCTATTGTATTAAAACATGCGATTTCTGTTCCTTTTTCTTTTATTATATTTGGTACTATGCATCGCATTTCTTGAGAAGGTAATACAAGATCAAAAAGTCTATAATATAAAATAAAGTTTCAGTTATTAATTTTATTTAATTTTAATTATTAATTCCATATACTTATATCAAATCTTACGAATAGTGATATTTAAATCGTTCAGAATTAGAATGTAAAAGCTTTAAGAATCCTTTTTCTAAATAAATTTCATCGCAAGCGGGTAATGTAACATCATCGTATTCTATATACTTTTCCAGAATAGCCAAGTTAATAATTACGGTTGTATTAACAATATACTCTTTAGTTTCATTACCAATTGATCTTGGATAGAGTAAATCATTTTCTGTGTAAGAGATAGCTTTATATTCTTTAGGTTTTGTATAATTTAATCTTGGTATTTTTATTATAAAATTATATTTGGAAAAATTTTCAATAATCGACGATTGTTTTTTAATCAGAAAACTCGTTTTTCTGATAAAATTATACCAAGATAAATATTTTGTGTTGATTTATTTTTAATTGAAAATTCTACTAATTCAGCATACCAAGCAGGATATTCCATTTTTGGATTTTTGATTAAATTAAATGACAAATTTGTATAGTCGCATTCTCCTCGACATGCGAATAATTTATTTAATTCGAATCCCATTATAAAATTATTGAAGGAAAAATTTTGGCAGTTCATTGGTGATGGCAAAATATTGTGAATATCGTGATATTTATATGCACACTGAATATGTGCTTTTTGTGCTGGATAAGGTATACCTATAGGCATGATGTTGATTTTCCAAAACTGCTTTCGCACAGTGTCGTATGACCAGCACAACAGAAATCAAAAAAATTACAATCATTAGAGTTTACTGTTAAATTAATTGCAATCAATATTAATAAAATAAATTTATTTGAAATTAATTTTATAATCATTTTATTTTTTCGAATTTTTTATTAGTTTTTAATTAAATTATTGACTATAACTATTTTCGTTAAATTATAGAACAATATTTTCATATAATGAAAAAATTTCGGTTGTATGGTTTGGAAAATGAATGTGCAACACTAAAGACAGTAACGCTATTCCAACTAAATGTCATTTTTTTTCTATAAATTCTGAAATTTTACTAAAAACTGTTGAACTTTGTAGATAAACTTTTCGCAATTTTAAATGTCATTTATAATATTTTTGTTTTGAAAATTTTTTGGTTTTGATATTTTGTTTTTATTGTCGCTTATGTTTGAATAATATAGAGCATTCTAGTATTCATTATTGTGAATGAACCAAAAAATTTTTGTACGAAAATATAAAATTTAAATAAAATGAATTAACAGTTGGCTTTGATATTTTGTTAATTTTGGTCGAAAATATCCCGGGAATTTGATCCACGTTTTGGGCTCAAATATTTTGCAGAATTCGATAAATTTTCAATATCCACATATCATCTGAATTTAAAGTAACTGAACTGACGATAAACTAATTTCTCCGTAAAAATAGTGGTATGTCTCTGTGCGTATCCACGATAGACAAGCATATTTCTATTCGAAATTCCGTATGAGAATATTAATGCCATTATAATACTTTCCTTTCTTATACTTATATCTAATGCGGTTATCCGCACAATTAAATCAAATATTGAACTATACGCAACATATTTGTGTATTTCAGGCCCCTTTTTTCCTTAAAAATAGAATAAATAATTTTTTTTTATTTAATTTGATTATTCATTTCGTATATTGTTTGTTGATGACGAAATCTAAATGTTAATTACATATTATGATTAATCATATCTTATGTAATCATACTATATTTTAACCCGGTTTTCTTATTTGACTTTACAACAATCATCCATCGCATATGAAAAATATATGAAGCAAATAAAATGTTTTCCATTTAATTTATGATGTGAACGCTTTAACTAAAAATTTAAAAAAAATGAAAAAAAAAAGTTTTGTATATGACCCTATTTAATTGTGTAATTAAGTTATGGGACAAATATATTAGATGTGATTAATCATAATAATATTATTTAATAGTAGCCCAGAACATCATCATATATAAAATGGAAAATTTTTAATTTAATAACGTAATCGTTTAATATTTGTATATTAGTTTATTTGTTTTTGAAGATTTTACTCGTAGAGAGACAACAAATGGTCCCAATTATTTGCAGTGAAACAAACTAATAACTCGGCTTATATGATCAAGTTAGTTTACAATTATATCATTACTTTGGGAAAAATTTTGGAATTGTAAATGCAATTTGCTTTAGTTTCCATTGTTTTATCCTCATTTTTTGTATATAGTTTTTTACTGCAAAAAAAAATCTGTAATTTTCGACCAACACTGAAACAAATTTGATCTAAATTAAGTCAAGTTAAGTGAGGTTGCGCGAGCCGTTGTAGAGCCGCCGAATCTCTCTCTTCTCCTTTATTAGAATCAGCCTAAGTTTCTCAAAAACCCGCTAAAGTCCCTAACATTTACATTCGCTAAGTCCGTAGCCCGATGGAAAAAGTAGAACTCAAAATATTTCTGCCTGGAGCCCGCCAACATCAGACAACGAGCATAGCAGGTTTGAAGTGGGTCATCCTGATTTCTTACTCCTCGTGACAGCAACTCCTGCAGAGATCGTTTGCGGAGCAGCCTCCTGGCATGATCTACAATCAGACAGTGTCGAGTTAAAACACCTATCATCACGCCAATTATTTAATGATCTAAATTAAGAATAAACTTAATTTTTATACAAATAGGTTCAAATAGTTGTGAATGGGGTTGTGGTTGGTAGCAAAATTTTAGATTTATTTATAAACTTAATTAATATTTTGTTTCATTCAAAATAAATCGAAAATTACAATTACTTTTGCTGCCAGTGTATTTATCCCGGGTTTTAATTATTAAGGTGTACCTACATACAGTTTTTGAATGCAGTAATTCTCCAATTCAATAAAAATAAAATTTGTCGATTTCGAAAAATTTAAGAGTCCTTGATTTTATTTTTCAAAATGTAATTTACTTTTGAGATTTTTGAATTAAACAATTTTTATTTTCTTATTATGAATTCTGAATAAAAAATTTAGAATTTATTATTAAATTGAGGAAATTAAGAAAATCTTAAAAGAATTATTGTGAAAATAAATAATAAATTTTATTAAATAAAATCATAAATTATTAATTTTAAATTATTATTTTAATTCTTCTATTTGCAGATTTATACAAGAATTAATTAAAAATCAACAAAAATGGCGGTAGATTGTGGCCTTTGGTGTGCAAAATATATTTTATGTTTATTTAATTTCTTATTTTTTGTAAGTTAATTTTCACTTTTTAATTCTTTAATTAGAAAATTATATATAATTAACGATTTCTATTTTAATTCTTATTCATTAATTATTTTTCTTTTTTCATACGTTTATATTTAGATACTTGGAACAATAGTTTTAGGAGTAGGAATATGGTTAGCAGCTGACAAAGCATCACTTATATCATTATTAAAAATGGTTGAAAGTGAACATATTAAGGTGAGTAATAAATTTTATTATAGTATTTTTTTTTTCAAAGTTTGGTATGCATTTACATACAAGAAACTATAAGAATGAATAATCATCATTGATTTACAATTTAATTCAGAAACAAAAAAAAATTGAAAATTTTTATTGAATAAATAAGACAATGAAGAAGAACGTGTGCGCATAATGAATATTTTAAAGAAGTATAGGCAGGCAGTGACAATTGAAAAAAATTTTTGTTATTGTTAGAATAATTATCATGACAAATTTAAAAAAAAAAATATGTTTATGCATACCGAGGTTTCAAACCATGGAAGTGTTGAGTACCGTTTAGGTTCGTGTTCCGCTTCAGATTCGAATTTATTTTTTTTCACAAAAGGAGAATTTTACCAAATTTCTTTGTTATTTTTTACAAATTCCAAAAAAATATTGAACTTTTGGATAGTATACTACAGCCTAATCAGTGCCGAGTTGAAAATTTTAAATTATAATGAATTATTTCAAATGTAAAGAACTCCAAATATAATTTTTATTTCTAAAGTAATCATTAATTCTAGTAAAAGAGGTAAAAATTTATTATTAAGAGGCAATATAAATTTCGATTCTTTTCTTTCGTCTCTTCATTTCGATATAAAGAAGCGAATTCCCGAATAGGAGTACAGAAAATGGTTGTTTGAATTGGTTACTATTAATTCCAAAAAATTGAAACTTAAGCTCTACTGTACCGCATTGTACTATTGGATTTCTAGTTTTAGTCAGTTTTAGAAATTTAATTAGCCTAGGGCTCATGACATACGAGTATCTGAATAGAGCATATTCCGTAAAACTATTTAAAAATTTTCTATGGCTTAGCTCTGATGTTCTTATATTTTCCTGTAATTTTACTTTTTAAATACCCTATTCGTAAATAATTAAAATAAAAATTTCTTAATTACAAACTTCCTAAAAAAAATTATTTTTTATTCAAATGTAACTCTTAATTTCCATATATTAATGATAATTGTTATACGTATAGTTTACATGGTAATTTAACAGAACAATAGGTGATTTTCTCACTATCAATGTATATGTTTTCCCTTAACAAACTCAGTAATTAAAAGTTTTTCTTATATAATCATAGAATGATTTAAGCACTGTATAATTGATAGCCATCATCATTAACAACAATATATAAAATGTATGTATATATAAGGTACATAATTTAAATATGATAATTATACCAATATATAAAAGAGGCATCAACTCGTTAAGATATTTTCCTTATAAAAAAAAATTCCATGTAGGTATATAAGTTTTTTTTTGAAATTTTAATCAAAACTAATTATTAATTTAGGTATACGGTGGGTGTATGTGTATAGGAAAGGCTACTAGAACTTTAAAAAATAAAATGTTATTTTTTAAAACCTTTAAATATATAAGAATTTCTATATTGTTTCACACGATAATTAACAATTTAAACCTCATAATTAAAAATTGCAATTCTAAGCTAAAATTCTGTTCAAGTTGATATTGCATTAAAAAAGTCTAAATATAAATTTAATGTTTTACGGTTATTAACCCTTGCGGTACAAACAAATTTAAATATTCACTGAACATAAAATTGCGTAGTTACATAGTCCAGACTGTCCAGAATAAAAAATTAAAAATCCAATACACCCAGTGTCGATTTGGAGGCGAACTCATATTAAAATTTCGAAGTCATTCAGATGCGAAATTTGAAATTGAAATCGTATTTTATCTCCCTTTAATAACGCTAATAGTACCGACCTGCCAGTTGTATACTTTATTAGATATTCGCATACGGTTGTGAAGGTATTTCCATTTTATTATATAACATTTGAAAACACTGTCAATGCCATTTATATTAAATTGTAGACTTTATATAAAAGTCTACAAACAGAAATACTATGCTAAATTTAAGATACGGGTTACAATTTTTTAATCAAATGTTAATCAACATTGTATAGGGTTAATTTGGCAACATACATGAATTCCCATCTCCTTTTATATAAATATTATTTTTCCGGTATTCCATTTTAATGAAACTAATTTATAATTTATTGTCAATGAATTTTTAAATGAAAATTTAAATTCAGGAAAATATTTTCGACTATATAAAGTTTGAGTAAGTTATTATTAATCATACATGATGAATACATAAGTCACCATATACTTAATAATTATTCATAGAATGAATCCAAGCCGAATGCATTCAACTATTAACTATGTATATATGAAATTTATATTATAACAATAAAAATATTGTGGAAGCGTGGGTCTAATACACATTTTTGCATTTTGCCGTCAATATTATCAAGGACGTTAAACAAAAGAATTGTTATACTTCTTCCTACATATGCGCTACCCTACACATTCTCGTTGTCTTGTCTATTTATGTATAATGAATTAATTTACTTAAATTTGCATATTCTATTGTAAACCTATAAGTATATTAATACCGCAGATTTTTTTTAAAATCAGATATACTACACAGTTTAACATATGAGAATAAGTTTACAGTTTTAGTTTTTATGAAACCAATTTTAGGTAATTGCATACTGGAAATTTGAGAAAATTTAAGAATTAAAAAATTATAATAGAATTTTATTGAATGGAAGTAGAGGAGCGAAAAAGAAATGAGAAGGAACACTCGCTTATGCTAATTGCGATCACATTTCATACAATAGAATATATGAAGTCACAATATACAGGGTGTTCAGTTAGGGGTCTAATATTAGATTCCATCATTTAGAAAATCAAAAATGGAAGAAATTTTTGTTTGGAACAAGGGGTCAAACATTAGTGGTTTTCGAGATACGGGGATTCAAATCAACGGATATGAGCTTGTGGTAAAATTTTTTGAAAGAGCTCATTGAGGCCTTTAAGATTTTCTACAGCTATAACTAAATTTGCTAAGTAATTCAAAGTTCTGGGCAATTAGTTCAAAATTCTGGGCAAGCACGAACTTTACTGGGGAAATATAAGAAACCATTTCTAAAATTTAATATATAACCAATAATAAAAAAAATTGGTTTAATAATAAACAATATATGTATTAAGTTGGAATAACAAGCTAAACAATAATGACCTGAGTCTTGGATACAATCATGATAATACAATAGAAATCAAATGATTCTAAATTTTAAAAAAAATTCATATTTGAAAATCAGCTATCTAAAATTCATTCATTTTAAAATTATGTAATAAAATTAATTAAAATACTGTCGTTGAGCACTGACTACAAACCATAATGACTCTTAGAAATAGAAAAGCTTATTACATATTCCTGCATATTTTTTTAATAGTAAAGCGCATACACTTATTGCAGTCATGATTTTAGCAATCAGCTAATTAATCTTAAGTTTTGTGTATTGAACAACAGCCTTTGTAAATTTCAAAAATCTAATCATAAATTTTTTGTTTTTATCATTTAATATTGTCACGTTGCTATTGTCATAAAAAATAAGAAATTTATTTTTTTCAAATTAACTAAAAGTTAGTCAACATTTTGTAATATTTGAAAATATTTACAATAATTCTCTTCAAATTCCTGTGTATAACATTTTCGTTCACAATAATTCACAATTGAAATGTCATGTGACGCAAAACACAATATTATTGTTGTCATTCAAAACCGTTCGATTCAATTTCATTCATAATCACTTCCTTTGTTTTTATTTTGTTTTTGTTTACATTGTCGCAAAAATCTACCGGCTTTCCTTTACTTTTTTTAATACAAGTAGGAAAAAAAAATTCCAAATTTAGATTAAAATCTGCAACCTTTGTTTTTGACAATCTATATATATACTTAATAATATTTTTTAACTCCAATGACCGAAATAAATTTTTTATTGTTTGGGAAAAAACCATCAAAACAAAAAAAAATTTTCATTTTTTTAATTTAAAATTCCAATTTTATTAAAAAAGAAAAAAAAATAACTGGTTCAATTAAAAAGGTCAAAAAAAATTCATCTTGTCTTTACCTAAATTAACTCCTACAATATTTAATATGAAAAGAGAGAAGGTCAATGTATCAAGAGTCAATGTATTTGAAAGTGGCTCATATTTATGTATAAATTGTATTGGAATATTTATGTGATCATTCACAATATTTTATAAACGAAATATATTGGCCATTGTTGTTGTTATTTTATAAAAATATTAAATTCCCTCAATATCAAATTAAAAAACCATTTTTTGTGGACTTTTTGAACACAAAAATTTTCTTTTATTCCATAATTTCAATTATTTTCATCTTCAATTATGAATGATTGCCATGCATATAAAATAAAAATTACAAATAATTCAAAAAATTTCTTTGAATAACTTAAAATAATAATTTTTGTTATTGAAAACAAAAATATGGATGAGCATATTGAGAGACATTGTTAGGAAAATGATTAAATTTCAAAAAAAAAAAAACAAAATTTCCATTAAAATTATTAATACGCAAGTACATATAATTGAATTTTGAAGTAAAACAGTGAATTCCAACATATTTGGCTGCAAACAAGGGGAATGGAGCGTGGAATAGCAAAACTTTAAAATTTTAATCAAAATGATAATGTATTTTTTCTCAGTGTATTTTTTTTTTTTAAATAATATTCATCGGCTGAAATCTATTTTTCTTACACATAGAAATTGATATACCTACGAAGCGAAAAAGAACTAAAGTGACGTTTTAGCAACTATTTGCTATTATCGGTGGGATCTTAACTTCTAAAGATAATTTAGAGTAAATTTAATAGTGTGGGCATAAATTTAATAAAAATGAAATTAAATTGTGGAAATTAATTTAAAATAATGCTACTATTTTTATGAAAATTAATAATCACCATTTAGAGTTTTCGGCAATATGCTATGCTTTCCGTGATAGTGTACGGAAAACTTAACATTTTCATTGATATACAATAATTTTTTAAAGCAAAATTCAGTGAAAGTTTAAGTAACATAAGGCGAGAAACATCTTATTCAGAAGGTTTTATGATCTTTGAGGTATATTAAGAGAAAAG